TGTGTGTGTGTGTGTGTGTGTGTGTGTGTGTGTGTGTGTGTGTGTGTGTGTGTGTGTGTGTGTGTATTTTATACATATATATGAGCTTAATATATATAGGCTATAATTATATGTATAATTATATGTATAATTATATGTATTATATGTATATGTACGTTTTTATTACGTAATTTGTCTTTTTGCTGCAACTAGCTGCTAAAGTCTAGAATATTAATATTTGATGCGTGCGTATACATATACAAAGTATCTGAGCATATATTGTTCGGAAAGTTCATTTCAAATCTGTTAACCTAAAATTATATGTATATTTGTACATTGTTTTCGTTAAAAATAAATGAAATTTAAATTTAGAAAAAAGGTTTTGAAGTTTGAAATTTCTACTTCCAAAACTTACTATATTTTTTGAATTTATGTGAATTTTGTAATTTTGATATATACAAAACTACGAATTTAAAAAAATGAAAAAATTTTTTCTTTTATTTTGGTTATTTTCTTATTTAGGTCTATCACGTGCCCAAAATAAATTTGCGAAAATTCTCACTATCTATCGTGAAAATTTGAAGTTTCCGCTACTGTTTTTTTTTTAAATATTCCTACAATTTTTTTATTTTGAATTAAATAAGAAGAAGCAATCTGACTTTGATTGCTCATTACTCCAACAAAAATCATCGTATCACAATTAAAAAATTAAATCTAAAACTGAAACGTTGCTCTATCGAATATACTACCTTGATCAAAAAGTTCCCGGAATTCATTCAGAAAATTCAAAATATAGTTTTATTCATCAAAAGTAATATTGTCCCCTTCAAAGTACTCCCCATCGACTGCAACGCACTTATGCCAGCGCTTGATCCAGCTTTCGAAACATTTCTGGAACTCTATTGTCGGTATAGCCATCAGAGCCATCTTCGATTTTTCTATTATCTCCTTTTGGCTGTTCCCCGTAATGGTTTTTTGACTCGATCGAACAGAAAAAAATCAGTTTCCCAACATTTCTAAGGTTTTCACACCATTGAATCTATTTTTAACGCAAAATTTAATACAAACTCGTTGTTGCAAATTCAACTCCATTTTTAAAACTGTAAAAAATCGAAAATATGTGCTGGGGTAGATGTACTCAAGACGGCGTAACTACAAATGTCAAGCTATGATGATAAAATTTGGTGAGAATGTCAATGATAAATGTGGCAACCTAACCAGAAAAAAAACAGAACTCCAATCAGCTGACTCAGAGCATCACCTGGTGATAATTCCGGGAACTTTTTGATCAAAGTAGTATTAGGTGCAGTAAAAAGAAATCCATTATTTTTCCATTCAATTTCATGCAAAAATAATGGATTTCTTTTTACTACCTAATATATACATATATATATATATATATATAAG